GTATGCACCAAGACAATTACTTTAAGTAAAAAAAAAACCTATTTATTAATGGCTTTATACATTTAAAACAAATAACATCAAGTTACGAGGTACATGTTTCTTTTTACGAGACTAAGTGATGGAACGAACAAGTCGTGCGCCTGATGGAAAGCGACATGCCTGTCCATAACAGTAGGGCTAGCACGATAAGGCGCGATTTGCACGAGAGCGATATAAAACCGCGAGATGTCTTTGCAAGAACAGCAGTAACTCGCGTTTTGTGTCGCTCTCGCGCAAGTCGCGCAATATCGTTTTAGCCCTACAGATGCAGTGCCACTCAGAGCTTTAAATCACAAAAATCTGAAGGGCACAGCCACAGCGCCCATCACCCTGAGACATAAGTTGAAAAGTCCCATATGCCAGTACTTTCACCTGCATCCTTACCCTTCAAAATCGGAACGCAATAATGCTCACATTACTGCTTAGCGGCAGAAATAGGTAAGGTGGCAACATTTACTTGGACGAACTCTTTCACAAGGAGCTCTACTGCTTCCATGTACACGTGTACATCTAATTACCAATAGCGGATATGCTCTGACTTCGACTAGACGTTGTAAACGAGACTGTTAGGTAACTATTTATAGATATATTTTTATGAGATCAGTTCAAGGTTCACACGTTTTCCAGGAGTTATGAACCATCTCCTACGTGCTGGTTTTATCACGATATTTTTCGTTCACCGTTAACGAGTGGTATTGCTACCAAACTTTAAATAAGTACAAGTCACGATGTTTGACCACCCTGATATTCAATTACGTTTGTGAAATTTACTCCACTAGTTTGTTATAATCACAAAGATCGAACACTTAAATGAAGAAATGGATTTCTCACAGACGGCGCTACGGCAAAACAAGTCGTTAAAAAACCAAAAACAAAGATCTGCAAAAAGCATACAGAGAAATTGGTAAAGTCCGCTAGTTCGTTCCGTGGCTTAGTTGGCATAGCGTCTGACACGGTTTGCTGGAACACGTTGGTTCGAACCAGCCGGATCGAAGGAAATTTTTCAAAATCTTTGTACTAATGCACGCCGTCTGGATTAGAACCGTCGTCCTCTCAATTGGGAAGCAACCGTCTCTCATAGATGACCACTACCCTCTATACCCTATTTTTTTTATAAATTATACCATACTTGTGCACATTTGTATGTATTTACATTTGTAAAAACACAATATTGCAATGCGTGTAACAATATTAATAAAATTAGCGCAAATTAATATGAATAAAATAAGAACAGGCGGAAAAAAATTGACACAAATCCGACGTCGACAAGCGCCTGATGGTGACAAACGGGGCAGCAGGCGGCGCGGCGCCTTCGTAAAACCGCTGGGCAATTTTCAAATTTCGTGATAAGTATGAATTTAATAACTAATATATATACCCATTCCATCCCTATACCCATCCGTTGAAAATCTAAATTTACCAAGTTCTCTGTAAAGAGAAATGTCTCCATATGAAAATGATGTGCAACGTTACATATTTTATTCTTAACTAATTCGTTTTAGAATTTTATTTTCAGGATTTTTTATAAATCGGGGGAAGTACATCCTATCGTGAAACAAATTAGCACATTATTTAGAAATATCCTTAGGTGTACCGTATATTATTTTCTGTAAGACCGTTATTTAATAGTAAATACCCAAATCATTTCATCTGGAAAAACAGTTTTTCCCGCTTCTCCTCCGGCAACTCGCCTTAATTCTCGTTACCACCAAACATTTTTACTCAAAAAACAAGCATAAAATTGTTTCCGATATTTTAAATATTCAAGGTAGGTTTAAATATTCAGTGTCCACAATTTCAAGGTTATCGTCCAATGTATTTAGTTTACGTAACAAACCTTAAGCTAAATAAAAAAAAAATACTTTAAATTTTTTATCCGTATTTTTTGCACACGAGGTGTTAACTAGACATAGACATAAATATTTTTCCGCAATCCGAAAGTGGGCATGATATGTACTCGTATTATTAGGATTACATCTAATCCTAACGACAGCAATGCACGTATCACTTTAAATTTATTTTTGTCACATTTCGTTTTCTACACAATATTATAATTACTTATTAATCAATCTATCTACATTTACGGTTTATTTATACAATTACAACGTCACGATTTTTGTCTAAACCAATAAAGAGACCTATAGTTTTAATAAAATATTATTATTGGTAAAATATTATAAATGTGTTACTTACTGATCGGTTAGAAAGAAGCTTTATTTTACCACTAAAAAAAATAATTTATACTTAAATATTTACAATATCTAATCAGTTAAATTTGGGGTCGGTGCCAGCCAATGCAAGTTTACAAACTTACTGTACAGCATTAGAATCCTTTAACTTATTTCTTTGCATCGAGTTCTTAGGTTTTCGTGATTGTTACACATAGGAATCCGGAAAAATAATTTTATTTCTTCGTTTTTCTTTCTTATACGAATATTGACTTCTATACCTAAGCCCATTAAAGACTACGAACCATATCTGATATATTGGATGTATCAACAATATATGAATTTGGTTTCTTTCAAACATTGGATTCCAGCTATCAACTGTTTACACATAATGTTGTGGTATTAGAGTACTATATCGAGGCGTATACACTATTCGGACCTGATTTTGATGAGAAAAGAGTCAATGAAGGAGTTAAGGCAACCGATGCTCTATAACTGCCTCCGTGGCCAAACGGTTACCATGCCGGACTGCCACGCAGAGGTCCCAAGTTCGATTCCCGGGCCGGGAGAAATATTTGTATGGCCTACATTTATTTCTCTAGTGAATTTGGGTGTAATTTGTGGTTGTCTATGTGTATGTCCATGGCATCCGCGACACAGGGTTTCCCTAGTGCGGGGCTATGTTGATTGTGAGCGTTATGTCAACCAAATACTACCAAAGGTGTGTTTGTTATGGTGACGAAGATCCTGATTGCAGATACGGAGCAGGATTAAGACAGGAGGAGCTTAAAAGACAGCAGGGTAGTTATCCGTTCGTTGAGAGAAGCCATGGTGGAGCGAACGAATTTTACCTTAATTCTTGTCTCTCAATGGGGAGACGACAATCTGATCGAGTTCAACGCCACCTAAACGCAGGCCTGTCTATTTTCTGCTAAAAGGAGTCAATTTGATCTGACTCCCACTTTTCGGGGTATATCTGTCTCTCTTGCCGACAGCTTGGACCTTCTTGGTATAACATTGAGCGCAACCCTTAACTTTAACAAAAAACTGGGTATCCTTAATAAGGTAAAGCGATATTTCATGCCTGGACAGCTCTTAACTTTATACAAAGCGTCCGATCTTGCATGGAGTACTGCAGTCACCTATGGGATGGCTCAGCGAAATATCAACTTGAGGCTCTTGATTCGATAGAGCACAGAGTCAGGAGACTCATTGACGACGATTAACTCGAATCTAAACTTCATAGTTTAGCCCACTGGCGCAAAGTTGCCCGTCAGTCGGTTTTTTACAGAATATATTTCGGTGAGTGTGCCCATGAGCTCCATCAGCTCATCCCGCCAGCCCCGTTTTACCATCGGACATCCAGACGTACGGCGGGATATCATCCTTCTTAGTCGATATTCCCTTCAGGCGTACTAAGCGCTTTTCATCATCTTTTATTATGCGCACAGCCCAGGAATGAAATTCTCTGACTGCGACTGTATTTCCGAATTCATACAACTCGGGTATCTTTAAGGTGCGACTGAAAAGGCATGTTCTGGGCAAGCTTGTTCCATAGTAGATCCTATCTGCTCCAGAGATAGGTAGTCGTCAAGAGCAAGTCCATTTAATTAAAAAAAAAATATTAACATGAGAGAAACCATAAAAAAGTCAAATCGTTGGTAAAATCATGGATAGGATTGTAATTATTAAAAGTTAATAAAACTCTTTTTCCCAGCAGGATGAGTAGTACAAAGAAACTTACGGAAATGTGTAAACACTTTAATCTTGAGCTTGTATAACATACAGTGAAAATGAATTATTTTCACTTAACTTAAACGAGAGATCGGACAGAAATAAGTCGCATAACTCGACCGTTAGGTAAAATAACTGGCTATAATTAAAGTTTAACTAGAATGTGTCATTACTACCATGTCTTATCAGCATTTTAAACATTATCGACTTTCCGATATTTTAAATATTCAAGGTTGATAGTGTCTACAATTTCAAGAAGGCATGAAATAAAATATGCAAATATGGGAAATAAGTAAAATTCATGCAACTGATTGCTATAGTATATAAAGGAAAATCCACCCAATTTTTTAAACTTATTAAGTATAATTATATGGGTAGAGTAAATCTTCACATAAAAAGGTCAAATCAACTAACATTTTCTTTGAAATAAAAATATGAGTACGTCAAAATACAATCGATTCCTAATAAAATTTATACCACTTTTTTTAAATTTATATTTTGTAAATGGAATTGTATTCCCGATCATGGGCGGACTAAAATTTTTTGATCATCATAAACGTGCTGAAAAATATTTCAATATGTCGAAAATCGAGCTGAGGTTGATCAAACAACCCGTAGATCACTTTAATGAAACAGAGACCAGAACTTGGATGATGAGTTACGCTCAAAATATGGAATTTTACCAGCCAAATGGACCAATTTATTTACTAATTGGCGGCGAAATGCCACTCTATAATCAAATGGATTCCCTGTTCGACGGGTTGGTTAATAATCTTGCCAAAGAAACTAACGGAGCCTTGATAATGTCAGAACATAGATATTACGGCAAAAGTTTGCCGTTCCCTGAGTTAGTCACAGATAATATGAAATATTTAAGTTCGCAGCAGGCTCTTGCTGATTTAGCAACACTACTGAAGTACTTGAAATCAACGTTTCTGTCCGAGAAGTCTGCAAGTCCGAAAGTAGTAGTAGTTGGTGGATCATACGCGGGAAATTTAGCTGCCTGGATGAAATTGGTCTATAGTGATTTAGTAGACGCAGGTATTTCAGTAAGTGGACCTGTGTTAGCTACGAAAAATTTTTTTCAATATATGGAGATTGTTTTTAAGGATTTTTTACAACATGGCAGTCCGGAATGCTACGATAAAATAAAGGAGATATTGAAAAATTATGAAACCTTGCTTAGTACTCCTGAAGGTATAGAAGAGCTTAAAAGACAAGAAAAAATTTGCGATTATAGTGACATGACTAAGAAAGAAAACAAGCAACAGTTTATCTTACATAAATTATACATTTTGGCCAAAATTGCTCAATATTCAGAAAATATTGACGAGTTTAAAGAAGAATGTGAACGAATGTTAAATACTTCTAGAATAGAATTTTTGTTTAATGAAAAAAATCAGCCCCAAGATTGTTACGATATTAACTTCTACAAGTCCCTTAAAAACTGGGAGCCGTACATGATATCTTGGATGTACCAGACGTGTACTGAATTTGGATTCTTTCAAACATTGGATTATAATAATCAACCGTTTACACATAATTTGCCGTTAGAGTACTATATTGAGATTTGTACAACACTATTTGGGTTTGATTTCGATGAGAAAAGAGTTGATAAAGGAGTTAAGGCAACCAATGCTTTGTATGGAGGTCGTCAACCGAATATTACCAAAGTCGTGTTTGTTAACGGCGATGTAGACCCTTGGCACTCTTTGAGTGTGTTAAAAGACCTGTCTGATGAGGCTCCAGCAATTTTAATCCCAAATTCATCACATTGTAAAGTCTTGCATCGAGACACAGAGCAGGATTCTAATGAAATGAGAGAAGCCAGAAAAAAAGTCAAATCATTGATAAAATCGTGGATAGGATTGTAATTTTTATAATTTAATAAAACTCTATTTAACACCGGATTTTATTTTCAATAAGGTTATACTTGGTGTGTTGTATATCTTTTCAAATTATAAACTTACTAATTCGTAAAATTATCGTCCAATGTATGCTAAAACTTAACCTAAGAAACCTTAAATAATAATAATAATTCTTTATTTCGCACTATTAAAAATATCCATAGTATGCTAGTACGATAATGTAATAACATATAATTAAAACACAAATAATTAATATAATTAATTAAATAACAACATATAATTAACAATAATTAAAAACAAGGTTAGTATAACACAGTGCAGACTTAATTTATAACTACACTATAAATTGGGCTACGCCCTTAGTTTGCTCTATCCAGAATTTTACTATTGGACAGTCAAAATTTCCCGATATTGCACTTAGAATGCTGTTGGGCCTCTGCCTCACGCGACTCAACAGCGACACAATCTTTTTCCGTATTACGGCCTGAAAGCTGTCCGCGTGAGCTACCAGTGCTCAAGAATAGCCACACATTCTTCCGTTATGTCTCACTAAGTTTTTGCCAGAGCAGATCATAGTGACTTTATCAAATGCTTTCGACAAGTCGAGGAAACAGGTATACACGGGGGTTTTCCTATCTGTGTAATAACTGACCGTATGCTTTAGACATAGTATTGCACCATCCGTGGACAATCCCTCTCTGAAACCAAATTGGGCGACGTGAATCTTTACGTGTCTTTCCAGTATAGTGACCAGCATACGATCAAGTATCTTGGCGGTGGTAGTGGCAAGTGATATAAGGCGATAATCTGTCTTATCAGATAGGTTGCCAGTCTTGTTCTTGACCACTGGTACAATAATTAACTAATAATAAAATATAAATATAATTTAACTAAATACAAAAAATTTAGCTTTAAATTTGTAATCCGTATTTTTGCACAAGACGTGTAAATTAGATGTAGACATAAATATTTTTCCGCAATCCAAAATTGGGCATGATATATATCCAGATATGCGAACAACTGCAACATCGGGTCAAAGCACTTACATTCACAGCAGAATCAACGTCTGCTTTGATTAATTAAAGAATACATAATATAGTTACACACCTTACAATAAAAACTTTTTTAAATTCAACCAACTTCAAAAACCACAAAAAGTCTAAAAGACAGCGAAAAATAGCAAAATACAGATTTCCTCCAAACGAAAAACGACAGCAATGCATATAATACTTTAAATTTATTTTGTCTCATTTCGTTTTGTACACAGTATTACAATTACTTATTAATCAATCTATCTACATTTACGGTTTATTTATACAATTACAACGACACGATTCTTATCCAAACCAATAAAGAGACCTATAGTTTTAATAAAGTATTATTATTGGTATGTGCTACTTACTGATCGTATACATTTATGGTTTATGTATACAATTATATAACGTGACAATTCTTTATAGGTTATGACCTATAATTTTAATAAAGTATCATTAATGGTATGTTTTTTTTGTTTATATCAAGTGATGGGACGAACAAGTGGTGTACCTGATGGTAAGCTACACGCCTGTCCATAACAATTGCAGTGCCATTCAAGAGATTTAAATCGCAAAGGTCTGAGAGGCACTGCCACTGCGCCCGTCACCCTGCGACATAAGTTGACAAGTCCCATATGCCTGTAATTTCACCATCACCGTTACCCATCAAAACCGGAACACAGTAATGCTGACATTACTGCTTGGCGGCAGAAATAGGTAAGGTGGCAGTACTTCCCGGGATGAACTCTTTCACTCCTTTCTTTTACTCTTTCTTTGTCGTGCGCCGCCTGTGCCACGGTCAAATATCTATATATGCTTATGTATGAACTTCATGTTAGACCGGGCCGAGTTCGTGTCACGCACGAGGCGCGGTCGGGACACGGCGTCGAGTATTTTTTTCCCGGTTCCAACACGGCCCGATCGCGACACGTCGTAATATAAATGCATTGGCCGGGCAACCGGAGGGTAGTCAATGTAGAACTATAGTACAGTGGACAGCGCAAGCGCAAAATGCTCTCATCATCTATCAAATCATTGTAGAGCGTCGCAATTCTACTTCGGATTCTCGGTTTCTCCGGCACGCTATCTTGTGTTTCCAATACTTCGTCATCAAGAGCCATTGCAATAGCTGTCAACTCAGGTTAAGAAAATAGTATTAATAACACAACCTTATCACTCAAGAGGAAAATGGAAAATAACAAAACCCGGCCGGCGCACAATGGAAACGACACGGCACTTTGACGGTGTACCGTGAATCAGCCTTTATTTTACCACTAAAAATGATTGATACTTAAATATTTACAATATCTAATCAGTTATCTTTGGAGTCGGTGCCAGCCAATGCAAGTCTACAAACTTACTATATAGCATTAGAATCCATTATCTTTTTTCTTTGTTTTTCTTTCCTATACGAATATTGACTTCTATAAACCCATTAATTATTGGATGTATCAACAATATGTACTGAATTTGGTTTCTTTAAACATTGGATTCTAGCTATCAACTGTTTACACATAATGTTGTAGTATCAGAGTACTATATCCAGGCGTGTACACTATTCGGACCTGCATTTGCTGATAAAAAAGTCGATGAAGGAGTTAAGGCAACCGATGTTCTTTACGGAGAACGTCAACCGAATACTACCAAAGTTGTGTTTGTTATGGTGACGAAGGTCCTTGGCACACATTGAGAATGTTAGTGGACCTATCAAATGATACTCCAGCAATTTTAATCCCATTCCTCCTAACAAAGCATCCCATCCCATTAATAAAGCAAATTTATGCCGAAGGCAAAAAGCAGGTATGTGCCGTGAAAATAGCCAATACGTAAACCGCGCAAGCACCCCGATGCACATGCAAATATTATTACTTTGACGGCAAGAACATAGAAAATATCACTCTCACAAACTCATAGCCGAGACTGCCTTCAACACAAATTAAAGACTTGCAGATTTAGGAAAGAAGGGTTAAAGGACAGAGCTACTCCCCTAATGTTGATATCTCTCCGTGATGTGCCACTGATTCACTTGTCTCATTGATCCAGCCAAAGTTGTTGATGCGCAGCAGCAAATTCCAGGAAAGTCCGTTTAACAACGAACTCCAGCCGTATATCACGGTATTTTGTCCTGTCACGGTAGCCAATTATGTTTCCAACCGGGTGGGTGTTACAAAGAAACTTATGGAAATATATTGTAAACACTTGAATCTTGAGCTTGTACAACATACAGTGAAAATGAATTATTTTTACTTAAGATAAACGAGAGCGTGCGCATCTCGCTTGACGTCGCTTGGCAGTATGGCGTTGGGCCCCCTCGCCTCTCCTTCCTCCCGTGACGTGTCGCTAGTGTTGACATTCCACTTGCAAAGAATTGCAAGAATATTTACCAAAACAATTTAAAATTTAACGTTAAAGATTTATGAAACAAAGTACAAATTGAAATTATAAAATTTTGATTTCAAGTTTGTCACTGTCTGTAAATTCTACACGAGGCGTTATTTAAACATTATGTTATATTTGACGATCTCGGTGGCCTAACGGTTTACATTGTGGGCACTGAGTGCAGAGGGCCCGGGCTCGATTCCCGGTATGACCAATTATATAATCATTATCATCATATCAGCCGAAAGACGTCCACTGCTGAACATAGGCCTCCCCCAAACATTGCCAGACTATCTGGTCGGACGCGAGGTGCATCCACCGGTTACCCACCGCCGTTACCAGGTCATCCGTCCATCTAGTAAGGGGCCGTCCTAGTGATCGCCTTCCGGTAATTATACAATGAACTTTTCTAAATTGGTTCTGGTCTGGGTGTTCTGGGAAGTGCCCCAGAATGAATTCCGTTGCTCTGGTACTCATAGTACAGGGAATTCCCTAGTTTGAGAACAGAAAATTGGTGTGGTTGTCTGGCACATAATATTATTATTATATCATAAGACGTAAACTAAATATTTTTCGGCTATCCGAAATTAGGAGTAGCCAAAGCAATTTGACTTTCCAATATCTTTCAAGGAGCACTAAAACTTTTTATTTGTTATGTACTAAACTAAATCAACTATTTTCATAAAATAAACAACATAATACAATAATGTACATAATACAATTATTACTACAAAGATACAGGCCATTTTTTAATGTAATGTATTTTTACCTATAATAATAATAATAATAACGCACACGCTCAACATGTTTCGAAGGTGCCATTGACACACACATAGACAACCACAAATGATACCCAAACTCACGAGAGAATTAAATGTAGGCCATACAAACATTTCTTCCGGCCTGGGAATCAAACCCGGGACCTCTGCGTGGCACTCCGGCATGGTAACCGTTCGGTCACGAGGGCAGGCAGTCTATATTATGTACAATCTAATTTATTAAATGTCAGAATGTTTCAGCACCATAATATTCAACTACTTAGTTTGTTATAATTATTAATACAAAGATCGAAGACTTAGAGAAAATTCTTTCGATACGGCTGGATTCAAACCAACGTCTTCTAGCAAATCGTGACAGGCATCTCGAAAGGATGCGAACTCAAAGAGCGGTGAAAGGTGCCTATAAGGGACGTTCTAGTGGTCAACGACCAGTTGATCGGCCCAAATATCGATAGAAGGACGAGGTGGGGAAAGAACTGACTGTAGAAAAGACTGTACCTGCGACCAAGACCCACTTAATATACTCTGAACAACCGAAGTAAGAAAGCGTAACAAAATCTAAAAGCTATTTTATGACACCAAGTTTTTCTTAAAAGATCTTGAAAACGCTTAAAAAAATTTGAAATCCAGCTGTTACCCAGTACGAAATACAGGAGAGAACATATTTTTTTTAAAACATCCTTCTGAATAGTGAGTCTTATAAGGAAGAATACGCGAAATCCAAACGAATTCCCATATATTTTATGCGTCCACTGATTTCGCTGTCATTCTGATCTACACGGCCCATCCATCTTAGGCCCTTTGAATCGCATCGTTTCGCAAATATACACGATACACAAAAAA